AATGAATGTTCAGTCACGACATATGACACGGTGTCTCTCACGAATTGACATTGATTGTCTTGTCAGTTATTATTACTCTTATTGTAATTACTATACAGATCTGATGTGGAATCGCTTATTATTATTATTATTATCATCACTTTGCAGACAGTGTCACTGTGGCTGTGTGGTTTTGTGGGAAGTTGTTAAACCCTGTGAAGCAGAATCTAATCAGCAGCAGCCTTGACCTGACCTGTGCAGCGGGCTGGCCGAGGGGGCCCTAGAGACCTGCCAGGTTCCACCTTGTGGCCGTTGGTGGGGGCAGCGATCCATCCGCCGGAGCTTGTTGATGCCACTGACGCCACTGCGTGGCCACTCGTGGCGGCCACCCTTGAGGCCAACGCCCCAAAGCCCGGGGGTATGACAGCGGGGCGATGCGCTATGCGCCCGCTGGGGGTGGCCTCAACGGAGGACGGTGCGTCCGGACCTCCCCGGGGGGATCCAAAGAGGGAGGCCTAATAATGGATAGTAGGCCGAGAGGTTCGGAGCCTCGCTCTTAGTCTCGGCCTGTCTTCATAATTTTGCTGTTAGTTATTAGTCGGCGTCAAGTAGTATTGACGTCCGGATATTAGGCCGAGAGGTTCGGAGCCTCGCTCTTAGTCTCGGCCTCAGTCCTGCCTGTCTTCATTTGCTGTTAGTTAGTAGTCGGCGTTAAGTAGTATTGAAGTCCGGATAGTAGGCCGAGAGGTTCGGAGCCTCGCTCCTAGTCTCGGCCTCAATCCGGTGGTCCTGCCTGTCACTGTCTTCATTAGTCGGCGTTAAGTAGTATTGAAGTCTAGTCCGGATAGTAGGCCGAGAGGTTCGGAGCCTCGCTCTTAGTCTCGGCCTCAATCCTGCCTGTCTTCAATTTAAATTTATTGCTGTTAGTTAGTAGTCGGCGTTAAGTATGTTGTCAGAATCAGAGCCAGTCGAAGCAGATTTAAATGCCTTACCTAAGGAGTCGACCCCTGCCCCATCAGGGTTGCTCCCCACACCGTTGGCCAGGTGTGAGGCGTTCGGTTTGCCTGTGTCAGAGCCTTGAGGCCAACCTATCCCAGGGGCAGGGGTTAGATGACAGCCGGGCACATGGGCTAATGCGCCGGCTGGGGCCTGACCTGGTGACATCGAAGCATTTTGCAAGTCACCGGAAGCAAATTACCGGACAAAGAAGGGAGGCCGTTCTTGGGACATGGCTGTGTTGTTAGGCCGGTTGAGTTTAGTATTATTAGTTATTCCTTGTATGTCAACTTCATTGCATTTCGCTTGCCATTGCTTGTGCTTGCTTTTGAACAGAGTAAAACCCAAAGCCTGCAACCTTCAAGCCGAGCAGTGCTGCAAATCTTCCATTGTTTTGTTCTCTGTCGTTGTGATGCATTGCTGCAGCAATTGCTCAAGCTGTATTTTGCAAAGCCATGATTCTGAATTGCCGTGATGTTGCTGCTGGCCTGGAGACCTCCCTGAAGCTTCATTATCCACACGAAGATATTTTGATTTTAGGTTTTGAGTTGTTCAACCTCGATGTGGTCTTGGGCTGCTTTCTGGAGTCGAACGCCGATTCTGATTGGCTGAGAGCTATGGCCAGTACATGTGTCCTCACAAAGTACTTCATCATGGGCTTGAAAGCTGACCAACGTCCGGAAGGTGGCCCTTTTCCTCGAACTCCTCTGGACCGGCTTGCTCCTCCAGTGCTGCGGGGGGCCAACCTTCTCCGAGAGGCCGCCGGAAGGCCTTTGGGTTCGCTCTTATTTCAAGCCCAGGAGTTCCTCGAGCATCACGCGGATGTCTTCCTCCACCAGAGCGCCTGGTTCAAACTCGCCTTTGAGATTCATGAAACTTTGAAGGATCTCGAATGGGTCCCTTCACCAAGCGAGGAGAGCTAGATTTTTAATGTGAAAGCAGGCGGATCCACGTCGTCCAGTAAGTTATGGAGACTAGGCCGAGAGGATCGGAGCCTCGCTCTTGTCTCGGCCGAAATCCTTCTTCTGGAAAGTAGGCTGAGAAGTTCGGAGCCTCGCTCTTGTCTCAGCCGAAATCCTTCTTCTGGAAACTAGGCTGAGAAGTTCGGAGCCTCGCTCTTGTCTCAGCCGAAATCCAAGTAAGTTAGACAAGACACTCGATGCAACCACGATCCCATTGCTCACGAGCTTTCAAAAGGTGCGGCATGCAGAAAGCAGTATTAGTAGAGCATTAGTATTAGTATTAGTATTAGTATTAGTATTAGTATTAGTATTAGTATTAGTATTAGTATTAGTATTAGTATTAGTATTAGTATTAGTATTAGTATTAGTATTAGTATTAGTATTAGTATTAGTATTAGTATTAGTATTAGTATTAGTATTAGTATTAGTAATAGTATTATTATTACTATTAGTATTAAGTATTAGTATTAGTATTAGTATTAGTATTAGTACTAGTATTAGTATTAGTATTAGTATTAGTATTAGTATTAGTATTAGTATTAGTATTAGTATTAGTATTAGTATTAGTATTAGTATTCGTATTAGTATTAATATTAGTATTAGTAATAGTATTAGTATTAGTATTAATATTAGTATTAATATTAGTATTAGTATTAGTATGAGTAGTAGTATTAGTATTAGTATTAGTATTAATATTAGTATTAATATGGATATTGGTATTGGTATTGGTATTGGCATTCGTATTAAAGTGATAGTATCAGTATCAGTATGAGTATTAGCATTAGCATTAGCATTAGCATTAGTATTAGTATTAGTATTAGTATTAGTATTAGTATTTAGTATTAGTATTAGTATTAGTATTGGTATTGGTATTAGTATTAGTATTAGTATTAGTATTAGTATTAGTATTAGTATTAGTATTAGTATTAGTATTAGTATGAGTATGAGTATGAGTATGAGTATGAGTATGAGTATGAGTATGAGTATTAGTATTAGTATTAGTATTAGTATTATTCGTATTAGTAATAATGATTCATAGCAGTTGCAGGCCATTAGCTAGTAGTCATCATTTCGTTGACGACGTCAAGGTAGCAAGCATAGTAGTTAGTAGGCGGATGGGTTAATATATAATAAATAATTAAATGCACTACGACACATGAGCCTGCGGCCAGGCTGACTTTTCCCTTGACGTCGCTGAGAGGCAACGATAAAGTCGTCTGCCGATGCAGCTTATTATGAGACGCGGGAAACATTTGAGAATTCTCATGCCATTATTATGCTGGTCGAGCCTAAATAAAAGCGCGTGATGTGCTGCTGCAGCTCGAGCTGTCAGTGAGTGTGCGTTGCGGTGCTGTATTATTGCATGTAATGTCTGAGCAGGACCATCATTGATGATAGTAATATGACAGTAAATCTCGGTTTCATTTTGCAATGCTTCACGATTGCGGCCGGGCTCATCATTGGTCTCTGCGTGAGTGTAGACTGACAGTCAGTCTGTCATCGAGTGCCCAGCAAGCATGCCTGGCACGAAGAGAACGGCTCTGGGTCGACCTTCCTTGGGGGGGAGCTCGAATGCAAGCAAAAGTGGGAAGAACCCCAAGCGAGCGAAGTCGGACGCCAGTCTGGGAAGTGAGATGATCGTGAGCGACATTTCACCAAATGTGGAACGCTTGAGAACATGGTTGTTCCCTGGTTCAGGCAATTACAACATTCGACGCTGAATCCGTGTCTCCTTCTAATTGACAATGTATTTCTGACAGTGTTTTCAACGTGAGGTCTGACAAGCTGAGCTCCCATCGCTCTGTCGACCGCCTCCTGCAGGCTGAGTTGGCAAACCAGGTGGGGTCACGGAGCAGCCTGCTGCGTGTGGGAGCCAACTACTATTCGGACGCCGACAACACATGTCACTCGCAGGAGACTGTTTTGGAATTCCTGCGGTTCGTCGAGGAGAAGTTTCCACCTGAGGAGGGTGTGAATCTTGGCCCCAGGACTTTCTGTGTTCGAGTGCAGCAACCTGAATTGAATTGAAATTTGTTGTGCCATGATCTGGACAGCAGAGAAATGCTTTACAATCCCAAGTCTGCTGCCAAGGACATACTGCCAGACCGTGGATCGTGCAGGTCCCACATGTCTGAGGCCCTGGCAGCTGCCCTGGTCTCCGAATGCAGGCTTCAAGGGGTACGTGGAGCCCGTGCCCGGGACGTTTTGGAGCATGTTTACGTACTCTAAGGTAGCAGTCGGGTATTGCAGGGGGCCTGGCAAAGCCTTACAATCATGCATTTGGCTGAGGACTCCCTCTATCAGCTCCTGGAACTCGTGTACATCAACGGGCCAGCATCGATGCATTTAATTTGGGATTTGCTTTATGGATTGGATGTGCAGCCGGCGAGTGTTGAGACTGACTAGAAGCCAAGGTTCCAAACAGACCCAAGCCAGGGAGGAGTGGAGGCGTTGACCATCGCGCCACAACGACAAGACAGCGGTCTGAAGAATCAGTTCGTAATCGCGTCGGATGAGATTTCAAGCTCGGCTGCGGGCCTCCTGGACCCTCAGAAAATCATTTGTGCAAAGGGATGGACGCGATCCGTGTGTGGCATTCTCATGCTCCTGCTTTGCTTCCAAGACAGCGAGTTCTACAAGGACGGGGGGGAAATTAGTAAAAGAGGGCCAGGGGGGGGTTAAAAATGGTAAAAGGAGGGCTCTGCGCGGTAACACATGAAACGTTGCGGTCATTTTCTTTTGTAGGACGGATGCATTGCCTTCATTTAATTTGTTAAGTCATGTCTTGTCCTGCACGGAGAGGAGATGCCAGAGCTCGTCCGGAGGAGCAAGTTCATTGCCGTTCATGTTCAGGGCTAGATAATAATAAGTGAATGCATGCAGAGACGATGCAGGACGTTTGCCACTGTGCACTGCGTGGTGATGCCCGGGAATTTGGACCCGGGCAGCCTCATCCTGAAGAACCGCAGTGCCACGGCAGTTAACGAAATGTGACGGCAGACTTAGCACAATTTGATTTCAGCATTGGGATCTGAATCATGCACATCCATGACAGGTGTGACCATGGCTTCGGCGATAAGGAAGAAGCCAAACTGCTTCAATTTGGTTCACCAGATCGTGATGGTCAAGAAAATGAAGTGCGAGGACGTTGGGTCGTTGGAGGACTGGTTTCATGCGTTTGCTGACTTACAGACTGACTGCCATACCATTGGCCGTCTGAATCTGAGTCTTATTGTACCTTGTAACGCTTGGAGGCGTGGGAGCATGCGGCCAAAGAAGCGGAGGCGTACAGAATTGGAAGTCTTGAAAGCAAAGCCGCCCTGCAGCTGTTGACCGCCGTGGATGGCCCAGTCTTCGAGAAGCTGAGCGACATGGTGAGGACAGCCCATACTTGTGGAAACTAGGCCGAGAGGATCGGAGCCTCGCTCTTGTCTCGGCCGAAATCCAACGGCTTAGGACCTCAAAGTTCTCACGGAAACTAGGCCGAGAGGTTCGGAGCCTCGCTCTTGTCTCGGCCGAAATCCGACGGCTTAGGACCTTAAAGTTCTCACGGAAACTAGGCCGAGAGGTTCGGAGCCTCGCTCTTGTCTCGGCCGAAATCCAAGGGCCTTGGACCTGTAAGTCCATGTTCGTCGAGGACCTACGGGATGAACAAGATACTCAATCATGAGCCCATCGCTGACGGCCTTTTCAACAGAGATTACTGCGCGGCCAGCGGGCAGTTGAAGCCATGGGCTGATATCTTGAGCAATACACCGCAGTCCCTGGAGCTCACGCTGCACCGCATGGAGGAAGACTACAAGAACCTGCACGTGAAGATGCGCAAACCCTTTGCCTCAAAGGACGTGGAACCTCAGCGGCTACATAGTACAAAAAGCTCATCCTAGCCTGTTCTGGAAGTTTCAGTGTCGCGATACATTAGGCTTGTCGTCTGGCCTTGAAAATATCGCAGCTTGCGTCGCTGAGGAAGCCTGCTTGAAACGTTGCGCCCTGTTCCTGGCTGCTCTGGTACGTGCTCACGAGTACTTTCCGAAGGGCTTGATGGATCGCGAAACAGGAAATCTCACGAAATCGTTTCAGTTGCTGCAAGAAGACTGCTAGGTCTGCTTTGCTACGGGTTTGGCAAAGCTCAGTGGGTGCGTTTTTTTCTGGTCCTGGTTCACCCTGAGGTTCATGCTCCGACATTTGGATGCAGACCTGGAGAATTTGCTAGAGCAGTCGGTGCCGCCGGTGGACCTCAGCATGCTGGCCTGCTTCCGCGGCATGATGTTGAAGCTGAAGAAGGAGGCTTGCAAAGAGCGGCACGGTTCCCGTGGGAAATAAGTATTCTGATAATTTGCATATTATATTATTATTTGTCTGCTGTTCAGTGTTATTGTAAGTTGTTGCAGCTTTGTCCGTCTCACTGAAGATCAGCTGGCAATATTTAATTGCAGGCAATTTGAGATGTGTATCACTATTACCTCAATTCATTTATCATGTCAAACACGACGTTGCAACTACTTTGTGCTGCTGAGCCTGGGAATTTGTTGTAACGTGTTGAGAGGCCGAGGAAGAGCAACTTCTGGAGTCAGAAAAGCCGGGAGCCCACTGATTTATAGGACACCGTGCGACAATGACTAATGACAAAGCATTGGATGATTTGCCGAGGCTGGCGGCGCAGATGGCCGCTGCAACAGCTCAGCAAGCTGAAGCCAAGGTGGAGGATGATCTTGTGAAGCTGACCAGTTACTTTGAGGAGAAGAAAGCCTTGGCCAACAGACAGGCAAGCCGTGGTTCAGCAAGTCAAGGTCCCCAGAATGCAAACTGAGGACCTCTAATAAAAGCCATTCAAGCCCTCCAGCCGCAGGGCGGGCTCGATGTACGGTTTCTGGCTCAGCGGTACCAGAGAGGCACGAAGGAGGTCGAGAAGATCATGGAGGAGAAGCATGAGTACAGGTCTTTCCCAAGCGGCCTGCTGGAAGCCCATGCGCATCTTTTGCAACTCATCACGCGCTTGACAAGTACGCCACAGCACGAGGACACCGACCCGTTCCTGGGATGCTTAAGGTGCATGACATTCTGAGGCCCTGCTTGCGGCCTCTTTAAGGCTGACTGTCTGAGGCTCGTCATCTTCATTATCGACGTGACAGCGTGGCCGTTCCAGCGCACCTTGCTTTAACTTTGCACCTTGCTAATCCGTGAAGCAGTTCTAAATTTTTGGTGCTGCCTAGTGGTGACATTAAATTTTCGGAGGCCCAATTGTGGTGGATGAAGCCGTGGACTTGGCAAAGAACATCAGCAATGGCAACGCCAATGCCGTGTTGTTCAGCCTGCTTCCCATGCAGCACAGCTCCGGGACCCAGCAGACCGTTACGAAGTGCAAACGGCAGATCGAGGACAAGGTGATGCAGCTACTTGGGTCATTATTTAAATGTGCCGCATCCCAAGGTCTTAGGGCATCGTATGGTCATGGATTGTGGTCGGACATTGAGTACTTATTATTAAATTAATTCATCACCTACAACTACTACTGAAGCTGCTTTGCTCGAGCAGTGGGTGGTGGCTAGGTCGGCACTGCTGGGCTGAGCATTGGGAGCGTGGCCACGCCCTTCGGGTCATGGCATGGCGCTCTGAGGCGTCCTCTGCGGGGCTGGTCGGGCAGGGCTTTCATTGACGATCCAGCACCGAGTGGGGGTCAAGGGCGACGGGCATGAGGAGGCAGCTGGGCATCATGGGAGTGCAATTTGCATTGAAATCAGCCCAAGCTCGGACGGTGCAGCTGATCATTCCATCTGAATGGCACCTCTTGCGCTCGTAAATCACTTTCGGCCTGGGTCTTAGAAGCTCAAGACTTAGACTGTGGTCAGATTCAGTTCTTGATGGCCACACACAGAGCGTGTAGCAAGCCAGGCAGGCCGTGTTGCCAACAGGGTCTGCTTGGCTTGCGACGCACTTGTTATCTGGATCTATTGGAGGTTGAGCAAAACAGGTACAAGGACCTTCAGGTGCAATACGATGCATTGCAGGCCCTCTGCAGTTCTTCTTGCCCAACGAGCTGCCTTTTCTGCAGACCCCCGGAGTTCCAGAAGTCGCAGCACGGCTTTGTCTTGGCATTGGGCGTGTTTCCAGGCCACAGCAGAAGGACAGGGCATGGCCATGTCACGCCAGAAATTGAAACTCACGTCGCTGGTCGATGTTGTTGTCTGCAGCCCACATGGTGCAGCTCGGAAGAGAGAGAGATCGAGGCACAATGTCCCTCGATCTCCTTTTTCTTCTGGGCTACGCAATGTGCAAGCGGCAGGCCACTCCAATGGATTCTCACACTGAGTGTCACTGGGACTGGCAGCAACAGTGGAACATCGCTGCCGATGGACGTTGTTACTGCAACTGTACCAGTCCGCTACTCGCGAAGCCGGACTGGTTAGGAGAAACGTCATCATAATATGATGATGCTGCTCCTCACCAGTCCGGCTTCAACGCGACTGTTGCCGAGTGCATCTACACATCAAGAGCGACAGCGAGGACAAGCTTTGCCTTGCTGTCGCTCTTGATTTGTAGACACCACAGACAGATGGCAGCTGCTGTTAGTTAGTCGGCGTTAAGTATTGAAGTCCGGATAGTAGGCCGAGAGGTTCGGAGCCTCGCTCTTAGTCTTGGCCTCAATCCGAGGATTTTGCGCATGTCACAGCCTGCCGCCTCACTGTTTGCTAGCCAGGAAAAAACCACAGATCAGATATGGAAAGTAGGCTGAGGGGATCGGAGACTAGGACTGCGAGTGAGTATTGCGGCCACCGCGACCACTGACTATCAGCGGTATTACTGGTTACTACTACTACTACTACTACTACTACTACTACTACTACTACTACTACTACTACTACTACTACTACTGCTTCTACTGCTTCTACTGCTTCTACTGCTACTACCACTACTATAATTACTCTGATTCTGCGAATGTTGTACACTGTACAGCAACCATCCCGTCATTTGTTATGTTTCTGTAACAAGTGTCAAGCTAAGCGCCCATTGTCATCTGTGCCAAGGACAATGGATGTCTATGAAGGGAGCTTGGGTTTCAGAGACTCAGGGCACGGGAATGACCGTCGCAGACGATCCCAGACCTGCCATTGCCCGAGACAGCTTGAAATTTGCTCCTTGCGTGCGGGTCTTATGTTTTTGAACTTTGTGCACTGCGTGCCAAGGCATCCTCAGTGTGAGCACCATTCACCGGAGCTTCGCATTCCAGAGAAGCAAAGCCATGCTCGGAGCTCTCGGCCCGGTTTCCCGGGCACGTGTTTGTGACCTCTGGGGGGACGAGGACAACAGGACTACGCCACTCCAAAGAGTGCCTGGCACTGGAGAGAAAACTATGTATGACAGTCAGCGTCGCCAAGCCATTTAAAGTTTTCACCAAGCATGATCGTGTAAGTTTAAGGTCCAACAAAGAGGAGTTCGGGGAACGAGGGAGACTTTGATGGGACTGCTGGAGAACATGTCCGTGCCGTCAGGGAAGCCAGTCATTGTGGCCGACTTGGTTCCCAACCAGATTCTGGACCTAAAATCATTCAGTGAGTGAGCTTTCATCTACTATAATATTACTATTATGATTCATGTTACTTATTGGGTTATGATTGTGATGGGGTGGTTGGTGTGGTGGTGTTTCTGTTCTGAGTCTTTTTCTGGACTAAGTGTGACTCACTGAAGAATTATTCAATGGGTCAGTCAGTCAATTTGAATTTTGACACATTGTGGATGCATTTGCTCCAGGTTCAATGAATGGGGACGTGCAATTGCCGAAATGCAGATTGAGAAGTTCGACAATCCGACAAGTTGCTACAACTGGCACTTCGTCAGCTACCCTCATCCAGATGACTTGGATGCAACAGCTTTGCAGCAGCACATTGCTGGTGTCTTCATGAATGTGTGGTCCTCGGTCTTACTCTTCCGTGAATGAGTTTGACCGACAGATGATGACTCAATCCCTGACCTCGTCGCAGGACTGGTGGGATACTTCAAGTCAAGCTGGCCCTAAAGTTCGTCCACAGTCTGACACCGAACGCCTTGTCGTGCCAAGCTTGGAAGTCTTGTCGCTGGACACAGACTTCAAGGTGACGACACTTGCCTCATGATAATTGATTGAGTCGTCTGTCCTTGGTTTGAGAATAATAGAGCTCGTCGCTTCCTCATGGCAGTGAAGGTTGCCGGAATCGGTGAAGTCAGCACTGGGCACCAGCAAATCCGAGTCTTTGCAGAAGAAGGTGAATGCCCTGAATCTGCAGTCGACTCCTCTGGGAAGCAGTACTCCCGCAGCCGTCTCTGGAGCAGGGGCAGGGCAAGCTGAAGGGAGGACGGGCAACAGGAATGTTGCCAGAACGCTTTGCCGCCCAGAGTTCAGCCCCGGAGCTACCCCCCCGGATCTTCTCCGAACCCTGGTATTGGACATGATGTCAGTTGGCGAGCTCGAGGAAAAGTTACAGCGCCTACACAAACAAGAAGCTACGTTTGATTTTTCGGTTAGAGCACAGTGGCGGGAAGTCTGCAGCCTTCGACACTGCATTGAGGTCCTTCGTCCAGGCTCCCGCATCATCTTGCGACAAGATTGATGTCTTTATCGAGACTGGCACCGAGCCAGGAATTTACCTTGGCAACACGAGCGAAAGCGAGACTGTGACGATGGAAGCCGGGGAGTTGTGCGGTTTCAACCTTGGAAGCTTCGTGGAGAGAGCGCAAGGCGCGGCATGGAGTCTCCCTGTGAGTGAGTTTCACTGTCTTTGTGTGACCGTGACAGGCCCGCTTGAACATATTCCTGCCATGCAACAGACTATAATAGTTAGTAAAGTTTCATGTTTAATGAATAAATCGGAGGCATGGCACGGAACAACAAGGACAAGCACTTGCCGTTTAT